TCCGCTATGTGACTTCGACAATACCGTGAAGCCCAAGAGGTGATTTGTGCGCTTTAAGTGCATAGTACAGATATGGCAGCGTGCCTTTGTGTGTATATCCCCACCGAGGATTCCAAAGCGCGTGATGTTCAAGAATATCTGCAACAAAGTCAAGAGGCACAATATAGGTAAGGCTGTCCAAATGAGCAGATAAGACAGGTACCAATTTTTACAACAGACTGCCAAAATATGTGAACTCTTGTCGACAGGAACAATAACAAAGTGTTGTTGAAGGTGTCTAAAGCCCTATGCACTGAGTGAAGGGAGTGCGGTTGTCGTGTGGTAGTGTGGGGGGATGAGATGCTGCTTTGGCAACGTGTGAGAACGGCTATATATTTGAACTTCAGTCTTTACGTTGAAGTCTCATTCTGCTGTTTTACATTCATTATATGGGTACCTGTTGCGGCTTCGCTCGCAAAAAAATGGAGGGCAAAAGACAAAAACGTGAAAGGGGGGATTTGCTTGGAGGGGGGGGGAAGGGGACAGGATGGGGGAGATTCACCTGTGTACTCCTGTTGACTCAGTCGATGCATTGCTGCTGGAGATCAGAAGCCTCGAAAAAACTGTCTTTTTTTTTTTTTACTTTCTACATTTGCATAGGAGTAACCTCCAAGAGACCTGTTGAGACTGCAGGGTTTGGTGGGTTTCTGGTTGGTGAACAGATACTACACTTGATCGTGTGGAGGGCCGGGGGGGGCATAGTTAGTTAGATTGGGGTGTCTCTCTCTCTCTCTCTCTCTCTCTCTCTCTCTCTCTCTCTCTCTCTCTCTCTCTCTCTCTCATGCGCGCGCGCGTGTGGATGTGCTCACATGCAGCTTTTCCTTTTTTTTCTTTTTTTTCTTTTACATCTTTAGAAAGGGCTCCCGATGGACCACGGATCAGATATGAAACCAATCGGAACAGATACTACAGTTGATCGTGATCGGCAAATGTTGTTTATTTTGGCATGAATCTCATTTTACGAG